TTATTACTTTAATCTCTCAGTGGCTTTTCAGCTTCAGTAAACATCCCTCAAATATATCCACCTCGAACAGTTCATTGCATAATGCACTCCCAGAAAATGCCTTGCTGCTCTGACACAATGCAACTAAATCGAACAGTTATCTGCACTGAATTAATTATGTTGTCCAACTCAAATTGCTGCCCAAGACCTTGATCGCAATCAGCTTGAGAACTTGAGAGCCTGGCCTTCTGGGACTGCGAACCAACTTCCTGCTGCCTGTCGAACAGAAACAAGTTCCAGATAACAGAGAGACGGAGAACATGGACTCCTTCTGCTCCTGCCATGTGGAGATGTGAAAATCGTTGTAGATTGCAATCGGCGGCAGGTGGCAGGTGAAGCTGACGGCCTCAAGGGTAACGCTCTGACGTTTTTATCAGTTTAGACCAATGGACGGGCGGACCGATGAAGATCACTAGTAGTAGTATGAATATTTGGTCGGGGAGGGGAGTGTGTGATTGCTTGTCCACTGATAAGGCCAAGTCAAAGAGAGTCTAACGAAATTGTTAAATTATTCAGCCGAGACAACTTAATTGGGAATGGGACAGGGTCAGACAGAGGGGAGTCGGTCAGTAATTGGGAGAGGAGAGAGAATATTGTATTGCATGTCGTAAATTACCCAAATTAACATTTATGGCAATCAAATATTTATCGCTCAATGTGGAAAAGCCATCAGGCATAACCGACAGCAAACTTCCTCTGCCTACCCGTAGGACCCACCCCACTAGACTCGTCTGCTGCTCAGTTAATTGCCAAAAGAAAGGGAGGCAAACGGAAAACTCATGACATCGTCAAATTTTAAAAATAAACGGGCGAAAAATTGAAGTAGACAGACTGAAACCCCACAAATAAAAGACAACAAATTTGGGGCTTTGGTCTTAGTTTTATTTTTGCCTGCTAGACACCATTCTCGGCCTATCTCGGCATATTTTTTTTTTGCCAAATTATAAAGTTTTCTGGCCCATTTGAAGAAATACTACATAGAATCCGTTATTTTGTGGCCCTTTTTTTTTGGGCCCGCACGTTTTTAGATAACACCCAACGCGATGGTGAATGAACCCACATGGCAGACATGTTTCTTATCCCGTGTGTGTTCGTGCATATTCTTCTGTCTCTTCCTATCTCCCTCCCATGCTCGTACTTTTCGACATGCTCAGTGTTCGGTCTGAAGTAATCGAAAAGTTTTCTGTCAGCTGCCAGTTTTTATCTCTGAAAATTGGCGCATTAATGCGGCTCAAGAATGAGCAAAGTTTTGTATAACTGGCTTGGGCTTCCACCAAAAAGCATACTTTTATCATCCGAATTGAACAAGTAGCTGCACTTTTGGTGGGGCCAAGCGGGCTGCTTCAAATGGTAAGGAATGTGGTTTTGAATAATTTTGATTACATGTTTTTGTTTTGGAGACAAATCCAATGATTGAAGTAGCTGAACATTAATAAATTGATAAAACTAAAGGCCTTAAATAGCTCTAATGAATTTCGCAGTGCACTCTGCGAGCTCTGGACACTTCCACAAACCGACGGCCCCCCGGGGTACGCTTCCTGGTAAATAACATGAAAATATTTCAAGCGATTCTTCAATCACGCAAAGTATGTAAATGCAACAGACTTTTGATGCAGCAGCAGAAGCAAGGCACGACGACAAACGCAAGCGTTCTTTAAAAGGCTTTAAAAATTCACAGGTAAATTCGTAAAAGAAAAAGAAAGAAAACGAAAATCACAGCCAAAACAAATAAATAAATTGACCATTAAAATAATTGCTGCGCCTAAAATGCGTCGCGTACGTGGCTTGTATCACGGTTTGCTTGTTGTTGTCGTAGCTGTGGCGGCAGTTGGATTTGCTGAAATTGCATTTGTTGCTGCTGTTGTTGTTTTTTGCTGCTGGTGCAGCGAATGTTGCAACAACTTGTCAAACATTTGAATTACAGTTACGAAACCAATACCGATGCCAAATGACCGGCCCCTCGAGTACCCGCCAACTACTCGTATTTTGTATTTTTTTTTCCACCCAAATTTGGCTAAATTTAATGAAGCAATTAAATGTCTGTAGAAAAAGATACACACTCAACAACAAACGACTAACATCAAACATTGAAAATGGGAAATACTCGTACTTCTGAGCTTGGTCAGATGTTTGCCGACAAACAGTTTGTGTAAGTATTCGAAACGGTTATTTATGTGGTTTTTTTTTTTTTATATACATAAGTTCGTATAAGAGTTCCAAAGAATTGTGGTCATCAGAATCGATTTGTTCCAAGACTTTCTAATGAAGACAACAAAATATTCAATTGTGATGTTATTTTATCCCGTCGTTAATGTATCAATTTGAACGATAAGTCTAAAGCTCGTACTTGCCTTTCTTCATTCCATATTTGTAAAGATCGTATACATCCGAAAAGGTGGAGCCATAAAGCATAATCATATCCACTTAATTGACCAATTCTAATGGCCTATTCCCACAGGCAACCAACCACCATCCATTTCGGGGATGGTCCGTAAGGATTTACCGTTCCGAAAATTTCCCAGTTATTCCACCGTCCATCTGGGATGTTCCTAAGTCGAACGTTTCTATGCGATAATTATTTGATAATTTTCATATGCAACCATAAATATTTGACATTCAAAACGAAAAAGTGCAATTCACTGCGAAAATGTAAACATTGACAGACAGGAAAATGTGAAAAAGCAACAAAAAAACATCTAATATGTCAGAACTGTCTCAAGCACAAATACAAATACTCGGTTTTTGGACTATACTCTGTGAGTTCTTTTATGAATGCTCTGCAAAATTCATGCAGGGTATTGCACACGCTGTTGGCTGACAATCTTCCGACTGTTCTGCACTCGGAAAAAGAGCCCGAAGTATACAATGCTATGGCGATACAAAACTATCCTTCACAAACGCCTCGTTGTTTTTGGGTACATCTCTCTCCCCAAACCGAACCGCTTCTAAAAAAACATAGCACTTGTATTTGTATGTAAAACATTGATTGGATTTAGTAGAAGCAGTCACAAATGATCACGCTGCAGTGTTTTCAAAACAGATATCCATTCTAATATCTAGTGTCTAGCAACATTATAAGTTTGTGCAAGAATATATTTTGGTGCTGAATCACATTCACAGCTTTTGCAATATTATGTATTAATATTCATTTTAATTACAGTAGTCGACCAGACATTTTCTCTGTGGCCCAAAATTACTTTTTCTGGTAGATTTCGAGATTCTAATTTTTTTCAAAGAATTATAGTTTTTTTTATAGTTTAGTTTTTTTAAGAATTTTTTAAAATCTGCTATTTCTTTCATGTTTTTTTCAGACTTAGTACTTATATTTTTCACATAACTTAAGTATCTTATATCTGGTCGCAAAGAATTTTACAGCTCTGAACAGCTTACAAATGCAGCTAAATGCAGACACAGAGTTTTTGTAGCTGAAGCTTAACGTCTGGAAGATATTAAGCTTTCAAATTCAAATTTGATAATTTTTTTGCGTTATTTTTTCCCGAAATTTTGACTTTTAGAACTCAGGATAAGTCGAAAAAAAATATTTCTTGGTATGCATTTTTGGTTTTAGATATACGCAATAATTAGGCGTCGTTTAAGGTATCGTTTGTAAGAATCGATGGATAAATGGCCAAGTTGCAGCCGTTTGACCAAAGCGACTCAAAACTAATTTTTCCTGAAAACATACTGTCCGGTACGTTGCTGGTCCAACTTCCCATAAGCAGCTGAGATATAGGATTTCATGCTTTAACCCATACAACCATCAGTAATTTTCAGCCTTTTCAGTAAAGTTTAATAGAATAAAGAAACTGTGAATACAGAAATTTGAATTATTGAACGATCGTATGCCCCCAGATTTGGAGGCGTTGCCCACCGCGTCATTACTTTCCTTCTTTTTAAATATGATGGAATTCTTCACCAACATTTTGAGAGTCCCTCCCTGCCTTCGGGCTGTTCCTATAAACGCGAATCCCTGAGTTCTCGCTAGACTTTCAATTAGACACGCGCGCCCCAGAGCAATTCAAGCATAAATCTAGATTGTAGACATTGTTGTAGGAACAGACAGCCTGACAGAATGTTTAACTGCCACACTGACTGAATGACTGCTTGACTGAATGCCTGAATGAATGCCTGACTGACTGGCAGACAGGCGGAATTCTCTGGTCTGGTCATATATAGCTGTAGCTCCGACCGGCCGGTCTTTTGAGGACTGTCAGAGACTGTCGCCTGTTTCCAGCGACGGAAAATATTTTAAGCTGTCAAATCGTTGACACATGCTGTCGTTTCTTCTGCCTTCTGCCCGCTGTTGTTGTTGTAAATCACTCGATTAGTCTAATTGTTAAAATCTACTCATGGGCGGCAGGTCCCAACGGATTTGTCGCCCGAGAATAGACAAACAGAGACACCAACGTCAATGTCAAACGTTCGTCAGAGGTCATAAATTGTGTTTCTTTTCTCGTCTCGTTCGGGTTGGAGTTTTGCGGGGAACAGCAGAACAACGGAGATCTCTTCTCTAAGGCGTTTCTAAATAGCTGTGACAAATGTTTAAGATATTTCCACAACCCAAGCACGCAAACAAACAAAACACTTCATTCAACAAACTAAAATTTAATCTATGCTGCTGGTGGAACTGTAACGCAGATCGGCATTTAATAGGTTCCCACAAAAATGGATTGAATAATTAACTCAGACCAAATGGTTTCAGCCCATTAATTTATCCATGTACATAAATAAATTTCTGGGTAATGATAATAAGAGCAGCATGGTACGGGAGAGCAACGCATGTTGATTTGGCTTTTCCCTTTCGTTCTTGTTTAAGAGAAGAAAACGCTGATAATAAATTATATTATGTTATATTATATTATATTATATTATATTAAAAGCTCCAAAGCTGGCAATTTGTGATTTATCTTTTATTTGCGAGTTCATATTCAGATTTAGTCGCGAGTCGCTGCTCAGTTCATCAGCGACATTAAAGAAGTACGGATCTGAAGCGCGGATCTCGAGCGCGTTTCGAAATAAAACACCGCATAATAATGTTTCATGGGCTCTACTTGTATTGGAAGAGTTTCGTGTGGCCGCTGCTGATAGTTGGGCTCGCTTCAGCGGAAGTCTGCGATGAAAATTCACAATATCAGTGTGAAGAATATGGAAAGTGTATCCCAATCATGGATCGTTGCAATGGGACACCAGATTGTAAGTACGGGAGCGACGAATCCTTTGCAGAGTGCAAGGCCCACCTGAATGACTCGGTGGCAGACATGTTCTACTGTGCCTCTGGCATACTAATGATCGATGAACAACTTTGCAACAATGTAAGGGATTGCCCTGATGGATCTGATGAGCTGCCACAATTATGTGAATACGAGCCTTTTGGACTAAAGTTTAAGGACTTGAACATTCAGGGCAAATGTCGAAGTTCAGAAATCGAATGCCTACCTGGGGAGTGCGTCCCTAAAAATAAGAAATGCGATGGCAGAATCGACTGCAGCAATGGTCGGGATGAGTCCCTGGAACTCTGCTTGGATAGCTGCCGAGACTGTTTTAAGTGTGCCAATGGCGTAGCAATCAATTCGGAACTCGTCTGCGATAACAAAATAGACTGCTTGGACGGATCCGACGAGTTGCGCAATGTCTGCCAAGGAAATTCGAAAAGCTGGATAGAGACCCTGCCAGCGATCTGCATAGAGCCGCCAGACGGGAAGCACAGATTTACCGACAATACAATATTCCATATGCGAAAAGAAACACGCTTTGTTTATCCCAATCAACCTGCCGAGCTGCAATGCCAGAGCAACAATCAAACAGCTTGGAATGTGTGCATGAAGGACGGGTCCTGGAACCGCGAACTTCCCTCGTGCACGACCATGCCTAAAATTGTGAACAGAAACCCGGACACGAATGGCACAAACGGCTGTCGAATGGACTGGTACAACAATGAGACCATGATTATCTATAGACTCCAAGAAAGCGACCAGACCAAACCAATCGTACCCCCAATCACAGTTGGAGAAGTGCGGTTCGGCTGCGAGTATGGAAACACCTTTCTGCCACACATCTACGAGGGCTCTTCCTTGTTCTGCGATTTCGAAGAAACGTGGAATTGGTCACAGGAGAACTTTAATCCGCGCTGTACCAGTAAGTATCTCGTCTTTTGATGTGTCTTCTCCACAGTATCAGCTCTTCCCTTCACCCTTGCAGAGCTTTGCCGACTAGAGGATCTGAATATAATTAATTCTTTGACTCCCACGTGCTTAAATAGCAAGGATGGATCAAAGTTCAATTGTGATGACGAATACTCTCTGATTCCTTATACCACCGTGAAATTCGGGTGCACCGAGGGTTTTAAGCGCCTGACCGATAACGAATATTCTGTAACATGCAACGAAAATGGCATATGGGAGGGCTTGCAGGAGCTGTGCTTGAAGCAGGATAAACTGTGCACATATGAGTGCGGTAGGAATGAAGCCACCATGTTCAGCGCAAATGGCGTTTCAACAAATTCACATCATGCTTCGTGGGTCGTTCCCATTTATACGAATCCAAATGATACACAATACAGCTTCGCATGTGCTGGAAATTTGATTGAACTCAACATTGTACTGACTGCAGGCCATTGCGTATATGGTCTGAAAGCAGGTCAAATACGCGTGGGACACACCGGCAACAGATCCCAGACAATTCATGAAAGTTTTTATGTGGTTAAACATGCTGAATCGTACCAGTAAGTACTTGAGTTTTCATCATGTTATATATTTCTTTCAAAATGCTTTGATTTTAGAGGGTATTACCCAACCCACCCTTACCATGATGTGGGAATTATCATATTGGATAAGCGTATAAGGCTCAGACAAGATCTGCACGTTGTTTGTCTGCCATACTACTCGCCAACACCACTAAATTTGGACCAGTCGTTTTCAAATGTGCTATCCTGGTCGGCCGATGGATATTTGATGAGCGTTACCGGCGCGATCACTGAGCCAATAAATAAAACTGGCGATGTAACAATTAACCTATCATCCAATGGAAAACTCTGTCCCGGCGACAGTGGAGCCGGGCTGATCGTGTCCTGTAGAACCAGTGTTCTACAGTCAGACCAGTGTTTAGTTGGTGTGGTAAGCAGAGCACTTAGACCAGGGGAACATGGAACAATGTGCTCTGGCGAAGTGATTGCCGCCAGCATAACTGGCGTATACATTCAAGCTTGGATCGAAGAGGTAAAAAATTCTTTTTCGAGGTGCTCGATTAGCTAGTAGATTCGAAGATACGTATCTTCCTTTTATACATATGTATATGCTTTGTTAATATTATCTGTATCTATTATCTATTATTATCTATTATTTGTATGTACTAAACCATTTAAATAAGTAATGTTATATTGCTCCCATGATCTGCATACAAATAAAGCCCATAAACAAGGCCATAGAACAAGTCGAACTTGTATACTAATGGACGTACATAAATGGCTGCATTGACTCGACTTCGATCTTTCTGTCTAGTCGACAGAGAATACAAATTATGAATTTTATGCTAAGCCCTCTGACAGGGTGAGCATTTTTGTTGCAGTCGCTCAAGCAAATCAACGTAATGAGAGCGTGTAAATTTTGACACATGCCCCTCATTTGACTCCGTTTTCTCAGCTTCCTCTCCGCACATACGAGAAAATCATGGGAACCCATAAATCTATCGGCTGCTGTCGACCAAATACGTAGTTCAACATGCGACAATTGCGCTTAAAAATTGCCAAACTCTTGACATCTACATACAGTCGTGTTGGAACCATAAAAGGTTAGTAAATTTAAGCTGGGTCTCTCCATCCAAAAGCATTGCTAGGCACAATTAATTAAGTGAAGGGCTGAAATTAAATGTTACTGAGGCTGTTGTCAGAGTTCCGTTCCCGCTTTGCAAGGGGAGAGTGAGTGAGTGCAGGAATTTATTAATAATCTTGGGGGGGAACGGAACGCATGGCTGTCATAAATCTTTCATACTTTGAGTCATATGCAAAAACAATGTTTTTAATTTTAAATCACTTCCAGTCTGTGGATGTGGATGTTCCTCCTTCTTGGCTGCTTCTCGTTTTAATTAAGTATACACTCGATGCCTCTGCCTTGGCCTCTCTCTCTCTTTCTCTGCCTCTCCAGCTAGCGTCTTTGTCTGCCTCGGTATACCCGATACGATCCGATGCCGATGCCTATCCGGGGCATATGGCAGTGAAAGAATTATATCAAAACATTGAAATATGTATCTCTCGGAAGACTCGAGTGCAAGCTGCACTTGAAATGTCAACTTTGTGTCGGCTGATGTTAAACAGATGTACATTTTTTCCTGCACTCTTCACTCTTCTCTTTCTCTTTCGTTTTCTTTTATTTTCCTTTCTTTTCAGCACATTATCGTTTTATGGGTGGGGATGCTCAGCCCGTTGAGAATGATTGTGGCAGGGTGGCAGAGCGAGTCGTTGTGAGTGAGTTGCAGTTAACACAATCGAAGAACTATTAGCACTCGATCGAATTTTAAATATCCATTGGAAGTGTGAGAAACCGATGGGCCCCGACCGATATTTTCTGGGTGGGCTGATCTTGATTGGGTAGCGAGGAGTAGTTCTAATGTGTATTCCAAAAATCGGAGAGGAAGAGTGCCTCCGATTCCTCCATTAAAATGTATTGAGTAGACCAAGGTAATTCCTTCATGTATCATTCTTCTTCCCTGAAATTCAGATAGGCTTTCATCTCTGCATTCAATACTAGTCAATCACCCACCCCGGAAATCAATGTACATATATTCCCGCTTCCATAACTAGAGAAAGTCTTGTGGATTATATGTAAACTAATATGGCCCAATCAAAACTCCATCAAAAGCAATTTATGTTGGCCATTTCAAGCATTAGAATTGAATGGGCATTGGGACTGGTCTCAGCTGCAGCTTCAGTTCCAGTTCCAGTTCCCGTACTGGTCGCGATGATCATATTTCAAAGTCCCAATGGGACAGGCCCATGACACATACATAGATGGATCATGGAGCTGGCGTTAAATCGCTTGTAAATGAGTGACAACTCAGCGGCTTAATTACAAACTGGATCACATCTCTCGTCTGTCACAAGAGCTTAGGCTTGGCTCCTCGGCCCCTATCGACGGGTTGTAGGATGACAGCTCGAGTAAGCCTCCGATCTGGCGTTTTTTCTAAATGATCTATGATCTCTGATCTCTGATCAGACTCACCTGCTTGAGATCCAGTGTGATGGTCACATACTCAAAGTGACGGCCACCCTGAAGCGTCGGGGACTGCCACCAGATCTCCTCGAAGCCGGAGCCGGCCGAGATAAGCGACTCGATGGGTCGCTGCTTGGCCCGATCCGAGGAGTGGGCATTGCAGGTGCCGCACTGCTTGGCCCAGTTCCTGTGGGGATAGGCGTCGACCAGCTTGCAGTACTCCTCGGCCCCGTTCTGACCACACGTGGCATTCACAGTGATCGAAGCCCGAGGTGCCACATTAAAGAGCGCTGGATAGAGGCCTCCCGAACTGGATGATGATCCGACGCCAGCGGATACGTCATCGGCTTGCTGGCTGTTGAGCAAGCGGAGTGCTGAAAGTAAAGCGATCAAGTTAATAAGAGATAATCAAACTTCAATTGGGGTCTCGGAGGGTGTCCGAATTTCGTCTTGGAATCCAATCGGGTAAGCAAAAACAGGTTCATGCACTCCTGTAGATTATTCAAATTTTGACAGTTTTTCCCATGCCAATCAATTAAATTGAACCAGCGAACAAGTCGAGAACAAGCAAGCCCTCAAGAAACCATTGCCAATAAATCAGTGGCAAGCCAGGGGGCAGCCAGACCAGTCCAGGCTGCTCTGAACTTTGCACCAGAAGCGTTATTGATTCGGCCTGCCTGCAGAATGAACCAGTAAGTATCTCACGGTGTGCACAGATACTCGTAGCTGGTACCAATAAAGGCCAAAACTTTCGAGATAAACTTTATCGCTGACCAGCCACCATCCAGCAGCTGGGCCAGCGAGCGCTCTGTTGCAGTGGCGATGTTGGGAGCGGACCCAAATGTTGACCTGGTATGCCATTTGCATGTTTGCTGGCTCCAAATTGCAGTCTGCTGCTGTTTTGGCAATTGTCAACCAAAAGTTTTTCGAGCAACACAAAGTTGTTGACGTAATTGCTTTAAAATTGCATACACTCGTCAGCTATGTGGAAGGACTACGAGCCAACTTGGTTGGATGGATGGGAAAAGTTCCTCTGGGTCACTTCACCCACTTAAATGGGTTCGAAACCAAGAAACCAAGTCAAGAAATATTGTTTGCGAGACCAGGAAATCGGCCAAAGAAAACAAACACACTGTTTTTAATGCATTTTCCTTGGATCCATATCGAAACGTTCACATTTTGTTGCTTTTCTGCTCAGCTTTGCTAAGGTTTCATTGCAAATTTATAAATATTTTCATTTTTTGTGGCGCATTCAATTTGTCAAAACATTTAATCAGCAAAACTTTTCTCACTTAAGCTGTCAGCGCCTGGAAAACTTGAATACATTCGTACATTCAGGTGGTATATTCATGGAGAGGATTGAGTCGGGGGGAATGGCAAAGGAAATGCAGGTCTTTGAATATACGAATGTTTGGGTGTCGTGCAGACACGTTGAAAAGGCCACCTTCAGCCCGCATACCGCATCCCGCATCCCGCAGCCACCACTTCACTCCACTCTACTCCGTCCACACCGTCCACTCAGCAGTTATTTAACTTCTCTTTTTTTTTTTTGATTTTTTTTTGGCTACCGCAAATTTGTCATTTGTCAAAACATTTAAATGCCATTTGGCGGTTTCCTCTCGAGTTGGGCGGTGATTTTGACAGCTGTCGATAAGTTTTTTCTTTCACGCTTTTAACACTTTATGCCTGAACTTTGCCCAGGGCAGGCTTTTCCCATTTATCTCCACCAAAAGACATTTGTTTGGATCGCTTATAAATAGTTTTGGGGGCTTTAAAGCCTAGTTTTCAGAGATCGAATTCGAAGTGAAAGTGATACAACTTTGTTGCGGCTTATTGGCTTGCGTGTTTTGTGTCAATTATTGATAACTTTGAAGCTGGGATGCCAAGAGGTTGCATTGGCACCTTAGTATACGTCTTTTCTCAGCCGCATGGCTGCTCTTCAATCTTTACTGTCCCAACACTTGGGGTCAGTTATTTGATATGGAGAAAAGTCCTTGAATTTTAATTGCTTTCGATAAATGTTTATGCTGCAAATATTCCATTAATTTTACCCTCGTCCTTCATCATCATCACCCTCGTGATGATGTGGACTTTGTCCACATTTTTGTAAGTAATTGAGCCGTTTGCCGAAAACCTTCTCACTACCCAGACACAAGCAAAGCCACAGCCACAAACTCAGTCTCCAGTGAAGCCTATTTATGGCCACAATTTTGATTACTTCTCCATCGACCCATCCATCCATCCATCAACCATGCATCCTTCATTCTCGTTTTCGGTAGCCGGGACTGGCTGTCAAAATGCATCAGTTTGCTTGCGTCACGCCGCCTCAGAGCGGGGCAACTTTGATTTGCCATTTTTGGACTCCTCTTTATTAAGTTTACGATGCGATATATTTATGTATGTATGTATGTATGCTGCTTTTTGGCTACTGGAAGTCATTATTTATATGCAGACTGAACGCAATTTAGTTATGCAAAAGAGTGGTGCAAAATTGATTGGACACGAGAACTGTGCCCTGACAGGAAGCATTCCATTCCACTCCATTGCCAGTGCCAGTGCTAGTGCTAGTGCCAGTGCTAACTAACTGAAGATTACCCTAACAGCAGCTTGTCTACTTGTCTGTATGTCCATCTGTCTGTCCCTGCCCCACAATTGGGATTGGATTGCAGTGCAATCTTTGAAGTTGGAACGCAATTCGAACGACTTAATAAGCAGCATCACCATGAAAATGGAAATGAGAGAAAGGAGAGAGAAGCACAGGCTGCACACCCCTGTAATTCCCCTATAATTTTTACCACCGTCTGTCTGCCTGTCTCTCCGTCTGTCTGTTTGTATGTATAATTGGCCACAAGGAAAACAAGCACTGCCGCCGTGTGGACTCTGGACCAGTCGGAGGATGATAGCCAAATCCAAAGCAGTCTTTCCAAAAATAGTAAAATATTTCTGTATCTCTTGCGCCATGTTGATGCTGATACGACTGAAATGCTGCAAAACAGTGAAATGCTTTCAACTTCTTGAGGTGGCGGCAGCAGCTGGACTTAAATCGGATCGGTTCGACAAACTTCCTCCAGCTCCTCCCACTCCTCGACCTCTCAGTCACGTGGGCCTTTAATGGTTAGTAATTA